AGAGGGAGAGAGAGAAAGTGAGAAAGCAAGCCACCAGGTCCAGGACTCAAACCATGGTCAGCCATGTGGGAGTCCAGTGCCCTTAACCACCATGTCACCTGCCGGCCCCCCAATCAGTCTTAATATGACTAAGGAAGAAAGAAGCAAAGATCCCTCCTCCCTAGATTGTTTAGTACAGCAGCATTTCTGGTGAAAAGTCTTCTTTCCCTTTATTATAAAACAAGACTATTGAGGGCCAGCCGGTGGCATGGTGGTTAACATGGCTGGATCCGACATGGCCAACTGCAGCAGCTTGAAAAACATACTGGAACTTGTGTGTGCATGTCCAAAACCCATGGAGGAGAATGGAAAAGAAGGGATTACAGACAGCATTGGCCATCTCCCCTGAGGGATACTTTCTCACTTTCTCGCCCTTTCTGTCTCTCTCTTTCTCTGTTAAAGCCACATGCCCTGGAGCAAATTTAAAATCAATCAATCAGTCAGTCAAGACTGTTGCTAGCTATATGTAGTATCTAGTTGCTCCAGAGACTCATTATGCATGATTAGGGATAAAGGTATGCTGGACACATAATCCCATTAAAGTAGGTTTTTGTTTTTGTTTTTTAAGATTCTTTTTTTCATGAGTGGAGCAGGGAGGAAGAGAGTTTAGAAAGGCACAGGTACTGGGAACCAGCAGTTAGTATAATGGCTATGTTGCTGGACTCCCACGTAGTCAACCGCGGTTCGCATCCCGGTTTGCATCGGTGCCCAAGATCTGGAGAGGAGAATGGAAGAAAAGGGATTGCGGCGTGACCATCCCCCCTGGGGGGGTGATTTCTCACTTTCTGTCTCTATGTCTCTGGCTGGCTGGCGAGCGCACGCGCCCTATAGCAAAAAAAAAAAAAAAAAAAAAAAAACCTCTCCAAAAAAAAGAGAAAGGCACAGGTACTGGTACCAGCAGTTAGTGTAATGGCTATGTCGCTGGACTCACACGTACTCGACCATGGTTTGAGTCCCGGACCCGGTGGCTTAAACTCACGCCAGGCGCATGTGCATGCATGCCCAAGATCCCGAGAGGAGAATGGAGGAGAAGGGATTGATGCGTGGCCATCCCCCCTGGGGGGGTGATTTCTCACTTTCTGTCTCTATGTCTCTGGCTGGCTGGCGAGCGCACGCGCCCTATAGCAAAAAAAAAAAAAAAACCTCCCCAAAAAAAAAAAAAAGGCACAAGTACTACACTACAATCCTACCCAGCCTTCCAGCCAGCCAGGATCACAGACACGTGTGAGCACACCCAGCATGCTAAGACCAACTCCAAATCTGAACTCAGGCCTCTTCTATGGCACTACATAGTAGCAGCCTACCATGTGTGCACCATGGCTGGACCTAGTGCATGTTTTAAAACAGAACAAGAAAGAACTACTACCAATTTAGAAGCATAATTTCAGGTTTCCTAAAACAAGAAGAAACCTTAAAAGTTCAACAACAAGAATTCCCTTTATCACAGATATGTATGCTATAAAGGCTTAAATAGGATGATGAATTACTTATTTTTTATATAATACTTTTAAAACAACTCTGACATCTTTAAGGACATTATTTTATAATCATTACATTATCTCAGTGATATAGGCAAAATATAGAGACACTGATCAAAATTTAAACTTTTCCTATAAAAAAACTGAATAGTAAATATTTTAGGGTTGGCAAGCCACACAGGGTCTCTGCTATATTTTCTTTTTCTTCTTCTTCTTTCAATTACTTTTAAAAATGTAAAAATTCCTCTTTTCTCATAGGGCATACAAACTCAGGCAGGCTAAATCTGCCCTATACAGGCCTTGGCTCGCCAACTCTCAAACAAGAGTAAAATTGAAGTATTAAGAGATGATATGTCAGGACCAGCAGATGGTGCAGCGGTTACATTGCTAGACGCCCATGTAGCCAACCACAGAGCAAGTCCTGGACCCAGTTGCTACAAACTCACACCTGGCACGTGTGTGCATGCCCAAGATCCTGGGAGGGAAATGGAGGAGAAGGGACTGCAGAATGGCCATATCCCCTGGGGGGTGATTTCTCTCTTTCTATCTCTTTGTCTCTCTGTTTCTCCAGCAAACTCATGCACCCTATAGCAAAAATCTCTCACAAAAGAAAAAAAAAAAATCTCTAGGAGAAAAAAGAGAGAGAGAGAGATGATGATGTGTCAAATCAATTTATAAAACAATTACTATAGCCAGGAACAAAATTTAAATCTTCACACTTTATTCAACATATAATTATATATCTACAAAAATTTCTACTTTACCTGAAATTCATCGAAACATAAGAGACATGCTTCTTCGCTGATTTCTTCAGCTATAGGAGCTATTGGGTCATATGATTTAGCCATAAATCCGGGTTTCCTTTTTGGCAAACTTTGTTTAAGACGATGTATTCCTTAAGTGAATGAAATTAAACACAGAACAAATATTATATTAACAATACAGTTTAGATAACTATATTTTTAAATCTCTAAATGAAATTTTAGTGTGCATATAAAAATAAAGTTTAAGTTTCACATACAATCAAATCTGATCATTGAAATTAGCTGTATTTTCTCTACCTCAAAACAAGTAATTCAGATATTATTATATCCTTATAGTTATAAGGAAACTTCTTCAATCACTTCAGAGAGGACAAAGTAATAGACAGGTGATGAGACAGATCAATAATTCGATCTTAGTCCTGAGGATATTAGGGATGAGATGGAGAGTGTTATCCTGCCTTAGTAATGTATGTTGTACAAAGCATATCAAAACAGAATGTTCCCTGGTCTCTAACCAAATACATTAAAGCCAGTCTCACTTCATTCATTATGTGTGTACTAAATGCTGAAACAACTATAATGTTCCTGCCTGGAGGAGGTGACAGTGCAGCTGGGAGACAAACTGCAAAACTGAAATGACATAAGAGCACTAGCAAAACAGTAGAGCATACTAGCAACTACAGTACAAACTGAATACCTGCCTACATACTAAAATAACACAAAGTAAAGGCCCAAATGAAGAATGACTTCTTTCTTTAAAAAAGAGGATTATTTATTTAATTTTATTTTTTAAAATTTGGCCAGGGAGAAACAGAGAGACAGAAACAGGGAAAGTGAGAAAGCAAGCCGACAAGTCCAGGACTCGAACCATAGTCAGCTATGTGGGAGTCTAGCACCTCAAACACCACGCCACCTGCTAGGCCCAAGAATGACTTCTTGAAAGAAGTGTGTTTTAAACATTTTCCATCCATCCTTAGTAGAAATAGATACTGCCTACCTTCAGACAGTTTTCAGATTTGGAAGTACTGAATTGGTACCAAGGATCAACTCTTAACACTTTAGTGTTTCAATAGCACAAAACAAATAAAAACAAATAAAACCTTACTTCAAACAATCTACATTTTAAAAAGATTATATCTTTTCTTTTAATTTGCTATAGGGTACCTGCACTCACCAGAAAGAAACAGAGAAAGAGGCAGAGAGAGGGAGAGAACACACCCCTCAAGGGGGATGACCATACTGCAAATCCCTTCTCCATTCTTCTTTTGGGTTTTTGAGCATGCATACACACACGCATGCCCGGTGTGTTTTCCAAGCTGCCAGACCTGGGACGCATAAGGACACAGTGGGAACCACCACACCACCAACTGACCCAGAAGATTACATTTAAATTCAGCGAAGGAAGCTTTTTGGTAGTGTTTGCCCACTGAAAAGTCACTTCTTTCAGGTCAACTTACTTTTGTGTACATCCAGCATAAAACCATGAAAATGAACCCGCTTCTTCTTCTTCATTTCCACATAAGCATAAAACATGTCCATCACCATTGTTTTCCCTGTACCTTAAAATCTCTCTCTCTCTCTCTGTCTGGCAAGCACACGCGCCCTACAGCAAAACCCTCTCCAAAAAAAAAAAAAAAAAAGGCACAAGTACTACACTACAATCCTACCCAGCCTTCCAGCCAGCCAGGATCACAGACACGTGTGAGCACACCCAGCATGCTAAGACCAACTCCAAATCTGAACTCAGGCCTCTTCTATGGCACTACATAGTAGCAGCCTACCATGTGTGCACCATGGCTGGACCTAGTGCATGTTTTAAAACAGAACAAGAAAGAACTACTACCAATTTAGAAGCATAATTTCAGGTTTCCTAAAACAAGAAGAAACCTTAAAAGTTCAACAACAAGAATTCCCTTTATCACAGATATGTATGCTATAAAGGCTTAAATAGGATGATGAATTACTTATTTTTTATATAATACTTTTAAAACAACTCTGACATCTTTAAGGACATTATTTTATAATCATTACATTATCTCAGTGATATAGGCAAAATATAGAGACACTGATCAAAATTTAAACTTTTCCTATAAAAAAACTGAATAGTAAATATTTTAGGGTTGGCAAGCCACACAGGGTCTCTGCTATATTTTCTTTTTCTTCTTCTTCTTTCAATTACTTTTAAAAATGTAAAAATTCCTCTTTTCTCATAGGGCATACAAACTCAGGCAGGCTAAATCTGCCCTATACAGGCCTTGGCTCGCCAACTCTCAAACAAGAGTAAAATTGAAGTATTAAGAGATGATATGTCAGGACCAGCAGATGGTGCAGCGGTTACATTGCTAGACGCCCATGTAGCCAACCACAGAGCAAGTCCTGGACCCAGTTGCTACAAACTCACACCTGGCACGTGTGTGCATGCCCAAGATCCTGGGAGGGAAATGGAGGAGAAGGGACTGCAGAATGGCCATATCCCCTGGGGGGTGATTTCTCTCTTTCTATCTCTTTGTCTCTCTGTTTCTCCAGCAAACTCATGCACCCTATAGCAAAAATCTCTCACAAAAGAAAAAAAAAAAATCTCTAGGAGAAAAAAGAGAGAGAGAGAGATGATGATGTGTCAAATCAATTTATAAAACAATTACTATAGCCAGGAACAAAATTTAAATCTTCACACTTTATTCAACATATAATTATATATCTACAAAAATTTCTACTTTACCTGAAATTCATCGAAACATAAGAGACATGCTTCTTCGCTGATTTCTTCAGCTATAGGAGCTATTGGGTCATATGATTTAGCCATAAATCCGGGTTTCCTTTTTGGCAAACTTTGTTTAAGACGATGTATTCCTTAAGTGAATGAAATTAAACACAGAACAAATATTATATTAACAATACAGTTTAGATAACTATATTTTTAAATCTCTAAATGAAATTTTAGTGTGCATATAAAAATAAAGTTTAAGTTTCACATACAATCAAATCTGATCATTGAAATTAGCTGTATTTTCTCTACCTCAAAACAAGTAATTCAGATATTATTATATCCTTATAGTTATAAGGAAACTTCTTCAATCACTTCAGAGAGGACAAAGTAATAGACAGGTGATGAGACAGATCAATAATTCGATCTTAGTCCTGAGGATATTAGGGATGAGATGGAGAGTGTTATCCTGCCTTAGTAATGTATGTTGTACAAAGCATATCAAAACAGAATGTTCCCTGGTCTCTAACCAAATACATTAAAGCCAGTCTCACTTCATTCATTATGTGTGTACTAAATGCTGAAACAACTATAATGTTCCTGCCTGGAGGAGGTGACAGTGCAGCTGGGAGACAAACTGCAAAACTGAAATGACATAAGAGCACTAGCAAAACAGTAGAGCATACTAGCAACTACAGTACAAACTGAATACCTGCCTACATACTAAAATAACACAAAGTAAAGGCCCAAATGAAGAATGACTTCTTTCTTTAAAAAAGAGGATTATTTATTTAATTTTATTTTTTAAAATTTGGCCAGGGAGAAACAGAGAGACAGAAACAGGGAAAGTGAGAAAGCAAGCCGACAAGTCCAGGACTCGAACCATAGTCAGCTATGTGGGAGTCTAGCACCTCAAACACCACGCCACCTGCTAGGCCCAAGAATGACTTCTTGAAAGAAGTATGTTTTAAACATTTTCCATCCATCCTTAGTAGAAATAGATACTGCCTACCTTCAGACAGTTTTCAGATTTGGAAGTACTGAATTGGTACCAAGGATCAACTCTTAACACTTTAGTGTTTCAATAGCACAAAACAAATAAAAACAAATAAAACCTTACTTCAAACAATCTACATTTTAAAAAGATTATATCTTTTCTTTTAATTTGCTATAGGGTACCTGCACTCACCAGAAAGAAACAGAGAAAGAGGCAGAGAGAGGGAGAGAACACACCCCTCAAGGGGGATGACCATACTGCAAATCCCTTCTCCATTCTTCTTTTGGGTTTTTGAGCATGCATACACACACGCATGCCCGGTGTGTTTTCCAAGCTGCCAGACCTGGGACGCATAAGGACACAGTGGGAACCACCACACCACCAACTGACCCAGAAGATTACATTTAAATTCAGCGAAGGAAGCTTTTTGGTAGTGTTTGCCCACTGAAAAGTCACTTCTTTCAGGTCAACTTACTTTTGTGTACATCCAGCATAAAACCATGAAAATGAACCCGCTTCTTCTTCTTCATTTCCACATAAGCATAAAACATGTCCATCACCATTGTTTTCCCTGTACCTTAAAAAAAAAAAAAGCACGATTAAACATTATGTACTGATTACTCTAATGATTGTTCATTAGCTTTGAGATAATGAAACTACATTCTTCTACTGGAAAACTGAAGACTATGTTACTTTTTTATGTTACTTTTTTAGAAGGGGGTATTTACTTTGTATGTTAAACTAGCTAAAAATAAAATGTCGATATTATTCTTTTCTGTTAAAATCTTGTTTCTTAGGAAATACAACATTTAGTTAACATTACAGAGGCTGTTTTTCCCTCAGAGAAAAAAGTTCATAAACAAGCAAGATTTGTACATTATTTATTCTGCAGTCTTCTCTTCCAAAAGACACTGATACGAATAAAATAATTAAATAAATACTTATTGGGTCATTATTATGTATAAGGAACTATTTTGTGTACTATGGGAAAATTCAAAATTAAAATTAAAATAAAGGTGAAAAATAAAAGCTAGTATCTAACATAAATACTCAAAATAAATAATAGATATAAATTAGAGCTGGAGAATTGCCCATTGCAATACTTCCACATTTTTAAAAAGAATTATTGATTTTATTTTATCTATTATTATTTAATTTGCCATAGGTCACATGCACTCACCAGAGAGAGACAGAGAGAGACAGGGAGAGAAAATGAGAAAGCAAAGTCTGGGACTTGAACCATGGTCAGCCATGTGGGAGTCCAGCACCCCAACCACCATGCCACCTGCTGGCCTCAATACTTCCAATTTCTTTCCTTGTTTTTAAGAGTTTTTTTTGCCTTAGGGCACATACGCTCTCCAGAGAGACAGAGACAGTGAGAGGGAAAATGAGAAATCACCCCCTGGGGAAATGGCTATGCTGCAATCCCTTTTCCTCTAATCTCCTCTCAGGATCTTGAGCATGCACAAACACGTGCCTGGCATGATTTTTGGGCACTCAAACCACAGTCAGCCATGTTAAGAGTCCAGTGACATAACAGTAGGCTATCTACTGGACCCTAATACTTCAAGTTCTAAAAGCTGAGATAAATGAGGCCTGCTTAAGAAACTTTTGGTACAGTCAATCCTTATAACTAAATTACCTAATTTTCAACACTCTGAAATTTGTAATCACTACAAATACAAACAAATACATTGGTAATTGAATATCAACAGCCAGAGCATTTAATTCAGGCATGTACAAAAAACCTATTTCCTCACAGAAAGCCCAAAGCCAAGGGATACAAGCAGTACCCAAGTTCAGGTCTTATTCTTTTCTCTTCTCTCTCTCTCTCCCTCTCTCTCTCTTTTTAAAAGAGGGTTTCATTGAGTCAACAGCCTTCTGAGTCATTGAGTGCACACCACCAGGCCTGGCCTTTAGGTTGAAGTGAGAATCAAACCCAAGTCTCCCACATGGTCCCAGTCTTTGAAGTACAGGATCCAGCTGCATGTACCACTGTGACTGAGCCTAACCTTACATATTTTTAAGATTAAAAAAGCTCTTGGGGGACCAGCAGTTAGCATAATGGCTATGTCGCTGGACTCCCATGTAGTAGACCGCAATTCGAGTCCTGGACCCGGTGGCTTAAACTCACGCCAGGCATATGTGTGTGCATGCCCAAGATCCTGAGAGGAGAAAGGAGAAGGGATTGCAGCGTGGCCATCTCCCTGGAGGGTTATTTCTCTCTGTCTTTCTGGAGAACACACACACCCTATAGCAAAAACCTCTCCAAAAGAAAAAATAAAAAGCTCTCAGAAGATTTTAAGAGCTCTACATAGACCATCATTTTTTTTTCTGTTCTGTTCTTTTCTTTTTCTTGACCATTTTAATCTCTTTCTTCTAAAAACTACCTTCTTCCCTTCTTTATGTGATTCTATGAGGGTATTAATCATAGGGTGGACCCATCAAAATACCCTATCACCCTATGCACTGTGGTTATGGCAGTGTGGGTGTGTCAGCCAGTTAAGTCAGCATTCTCAAGGGGAAATTAATATGAATTCTGAGAATGAGAATCGTTCCTTCTCCTTTTAAGAAAGCAATATGTAAGACGCCAGGAGCCATTTCCTATAACATTAACATATTCTAACCAAGAATGAAGTCAACAATAAAGAAAGCAGAACCAAAAGATGATGTAAAAAGAGATCTGAACAAATCAAGCTGGTATGCAAGCTGCCAAAATACAATTCAACATACTTTAAAGAGGACAACTAAATCCAGACCCTCAACAAGTTAATACTCACCATATCCACTATACAATTAAAAATGAGAAATAGGAGAAATTCTAAATATTCAGTAAAAAAAAGGTTTTCAAAAAAGAAAAAAAAAGAAGACATTTCAAAATAAAGAAAAGATGAAAGAATTAGTTACCAGCAGATCTGTGCTACACACAGAAAGAGAGAGAGAGAGAGAGAGAGAGAGAGAGAGAGAGAAAGAAAGAAAGAAAGAAAGAAAGAAAGAAAGAAAGAAAGAAAGAAAGAAAGAAAGAAAGAAAATCTTTTAAAAACATGCTTCGGGGGCCATCAGGTGGTGTGGTGGTTAAGGTGCTGAACTCCCACATGGCCAATCACGGTTTGCATCCCAGACTCAGCGGCTTGAAAATCATGCCAGGTGAATGTGTGTGCATGCCCAAAATCCTGAGAGGACAATGGAGCCAAAGGTATTGTAGTGTGGCCACCCCCTTCCCCCCCCAGGGGTGATTTCTCACCTTCCTTCTCTCTGTCTTTCTCCAGAGAGCACACGCACCCTATACCAAAAACTCTAAGAAATTTTTTTTGGAAAGTGTAAAAAGAAAACTAGGAACAAAGAAAGAAAAAACAGAAAGCAAGTAAAAGACGGTAGTCTTAAACCCAACCCAATTGATAAGTTCAAATGGACTAACAATTCGATAAAAGTTGAAATAAACAGATAAACATCAATGAGGAGAACTAACTATATAGTATCTATAAGAAACTCACACAAGTAACTTAAAAGTCACAATATGAAAAAAAAAGAAAGAAAGTGAAACAACATGCACTGGTGGACCTGTAGTGCAGTGGTTAAGTGCTATGCATTATCGGCCAGACTCTACATGGAATCCTGGTGTTGGTGGCTTAAACAACATGAGGGTGTATCTGCACGAGTGCCCTAAATCTTGAGGGAAATGAACAATGTAGGAAAAAGGATTATAATGTGACCATGCATTACTGAAAGGGAGGGCAGTTTCTCTCTCTCTCTCTCTCTCTCTTTCTCTCTCTCTCTCTCTCTCTCGGGCAAGCATACCTATACTCTGTCAATTATAAAAAAAAAAAAGGCATGACATGCAAACATTAATCATAAGAAAACTAAAGTGGGGAGGAGGCAGCAGATGGTGTAATGGTTACGTCACTGGACGTAGTCAATCGCGGTTCAAGTCCTGGACCTGGTGGCTTAAAACTCACGCCGGGTACATCTGTATGCATTCCCAAAATCCCAAGAAGAGAATGGAGGAGAAGCGAATGTGGTGTGGCCCTTCCCCCTGGGAAGTGATTTCTCGCTTTCTGTCTCTCTGTCTTTCCAGCGAGTGCATGTGCTCTATAGTAAAAGTATCTCTCTATAAAAATAAAACTATGGTGGGTATATTAACATTAGACAAACCAGAATTTAGAACAAGAAATATTACTAAATATAAAGATACACCAAAATAAGAAAATTAATTCATCAAGAAGACATAATAATCCTAAATACGTATGTACCCACTAACAGAGCTTCAGAATAAATAAAGTAAAACTATTACACAAACAATGACAGATGATATATACTCTTTTCAAATATACATGAACTATTTAACAGGATGAACCATATACAGAACCATAAAACAGGTCTCCACAGATAAAAGGATGTTAAAAATACGTAACAAAGAGCCATCTGGTGATGTGGAGGTTAAGGTGGCTGGATCCCAGCTGGCTGACTGAGCAATTTGAGTCCCAGACCTAGCAGTTTGAGAAATATGCTAGGCATGTGTGCACACCCAAATTACTGAGAGGAGACTGAAAAAGGGATTGTGGTGTAACCATTCCCCACGTGGGATGCTTTTTCTCTCTGTCTCTGATGAGTACACACACCTTCTGGCAAATTAAACACACACACACACACACACACAATACATATGTTCTCTGACCATAATAAAATAAGTTAGAAATCAAATAGATATTTAGAAAATTCCTGAATACTTGGAAATTAAACAATTAAATAGGTTTTTTAAAAAATTCTAGTTCATTTCCATGACTGACTCCTCAAAATAACCCTCTAGGGAAATTGAAAAATCATGAGGATAATTAGGAGACATCTTAAACTGCACGAAAATGAAATGAAAATGCAAATATCAAAATTTGTCACTAATACAGAAGTTAGAGGAAAATTTATAGCTTTTAAGTGGTCTATTAAACAACTAAGTTTTTAAATTAATCATTTACGTTTCCACATTAAGAAGTTACAAAAAACATGAAACCCAAAGTAAATATTAAAAAGGAAATAATAAAGATAAGAGCAGAAATAGGGGGAAAAAAACAGAAAGAAAGAAATCAATAAAACAGACACTGATTCTTTGAAAACACAAAAAATAATCATTGATAAGACCCTAGTTGAACTAACTGAGAAAAAAGATGTAAACACAAATTGCCAGTCTTAGGAATGAACAAGGAGGTGTCACTACAGTTCCTGAAGATTTTAAAAGGATGTTAAAACATTATTGTAAACAACTTCTTATTAATAAATTGAACAATTTAGATGAAGGGGGAAAATTCCTTGAAAAACATGAATTACCAAAACTGACATAAAAAGAAAATCTAGGGATCAGATCACGGTGCAGAAGTAAAATGAGACTGTGAAGTTGACCCTCATGGGAAGTTTCCAATATGTGTCTGGAGACCTTTCTAAGTATGCTGTATGTACCAATGACCCAAGGCTGGCTGAGGCTGAGGGTAGATCATGGCATCAAGAAACTGGTGGAAAATATGCCCCCATCCCTGCTCACAGAAGAAATAAATAGATAAATAAAACTTAAAAAAAAAAAAAAAAAGG